ATTATCATATTTTTATTATTATTATTGTTGTCAATGCTGTTGCAGTTGTTGATGTTATTACTGTTATTATTATCATTATCATAATTATTATTATTATTATCATTATTATTATTATTATTATTATCATTATCATTATTATTACTATTACTATTATTATTATCATTATTAATATCATTGTCATTGTTACTATTATTATATTTGTTATCATAATAATTATTATTAACGCCATTATTATTATCATTATAATGATAATTATAATGATGGTAGCGATAATGAAAAAATATTATCGGTACTATCATTTTTATTATTTATATTATGATGATGATGATGATGATGATTATTGTTATTGTTGCTGTTATTATTATTATTATTATTATTATTACTATTATTATTATTATCAATATTGTTGTTGTTATTTTTCTTCTTTTTGTTCTTCTTCTTCTCATTATTGTTATTGTTATCATTATTATTATTATCATTATTATTATTATTATTATTATTATTATCATTATTATTATTATTATTATTATTATTATTATTATTATTATTATTAATATTATTATTATTATTATTATAACTATTATTATTATTATTATTATTATTATTATTATTATTATCATTATTATTATTATCCTTTTTATTATTATTATCATTATCATAATCATTATTATTATTATCCTAATTATTACTATTATTATTATTATTATTATTACTATTATCATTATTATTATTATTATTATTATCATTATTATCATTATTATTATTATTATTATCATTATTGTTATCATTATTATTTTTGATGGGCATAATATTAGAAATCATGATGATACAAATATTATTCATTAATGATAGTCTTGCTAGTAATACCATAATTAATACATATTCCGAGAGAGAGAGAACATTGTAAACTTAGTAATTAGGAAGTCAGTGACAATAATTTTTTATAATGAGGCCGCTAAACAGTGATGGTACTGATAATCCTGTGGTAAAGTCTTTAATCAAAGTAGCAATTACACACAAACAAATAATCAAGCACACAAAATCAAGCATACATTTAAAC